CCCCCCCCCCCCCCCAAAAAAAAAAATGCTGAAACGTGTTGAAACCGACGTCCAGCAGCAGTGGGATTGACGCTCAAGACACACGCGCATGCTTACTTTTGACCACTCAAAAGATATCGATGTTTGTCAAGTGCGAGCAGAGCAGAGCAGGGAGAATGCCACGCACCAAAAGCACTCGTTATCGCCGGGCGGCGGGCTGCTGCTGGCTGGTTTCGGTGTGTTGTTTTATTTTATTTTTGGACATGTTGTTTGGCAGGCGGCGATGAAGTGGGACGAGGAAAAGTTCGGGCTGGAATACGACCTTGACATCTTCAACGTGGTGGCCGTGAACGACTTCAACATGGGTGCGATGGAAAACAAGGGGCTCAACGTCTTCAACACGGCCTACGTCCTCGCCAAGCCTGGTGCGGACAAAAAACGAAACGATCAGAGATATTCCAGCTTGCGTCTATACGTATACATGTCCTCCCCAAAAACCAAAGCTTTAATACCCCCCTTGCGTACGATGTTGTGTGGCCAGTGATACTGTACGAATCTCATTGAGATGCGGAGGTGATGCCCCCCATACACACACAATACCAGAAGTACATTAAAATATAACAAACGTCCATATAGTTTCTCAAGTATGGTGTCGCCAGTGACACGTCAACGTGGCACGGAGAGACATCCTGATCTGAACGTTTTGGTTTCGTGAAAACACGCTTCGCTTCGCAGAGACGGCGACCGACCTGGACTACGAACGCATCGAGGGCGTGATCGGACACGAGTACTTCCACAACTGGACGGGCAACCGCGTCACGTGCCGGTAAGCAGGCTGCCACTATTGAACGGCGTGCCCTGCGAATTCCGTACCGTTGTCGTTGTCGTTGACGGTACGGCACGGTAGTCAAGGAGACCAGCTTGACGGGTAACCGCGTCACGTGCCGGTAAAGTAGGCATGCCACTACTATTGAACGGCGCCCTTTGCATATTCCGTTCCGTTGTAATTGTCCTCGACGGTGCGGTAGTCAAGGGGGGAAGAAACTGGACGGGTAACCGTAACAGTGCCGGTAAAGTACGCATGCCATTGCTTTTAAGCAGCGTGCTCTGTATCTCGTATCCACTGTCTTTGGGCTTGACGGTACCGCACGGTAGGTAGCCAAGGGGACTACGAAAATACGGAGACGGTATGCATGCAGTAGTAGCGATTGCGAGGTGGCGTGCGAACACGCTTTGCTTGGCACTGCTGTAGGCTGTTCGTCGACAAATGACCAGTGTTGGTTGTTTGATTGCTTGGATTCAGGGGTGAGTGTGTGAGTACACGAAGCGAGTCGTCAGCTTGTTCCCACCGATTCTCGATCTCCTCCGGTAGGTGGCACCACATGCATGGTCCATGCAAACAAGGCGCTACTCACGCTCAAGTTTGCACAAGCACAGAGCACGCTGTTTCCTTCCGAACAGGAACAGGCTGGTACTTTTTTTTTTGTCCCCGTACTTGCGTGTGACTTGATCGTTGTTTGTCCTGTTGTCGAGATGTCCTGCTTGGCGCGCCCGGCGCAGGCGCTCCGCTTTTCCAAGGAGCGACGGACGTTGTTCCTTGCCCTTTGTTTCAGGCCTGTTTCGTGCGCAGCGCCTTGGCCTCTCCTCTCGCCTTTGACGCTTGGTGACGTGGGGGCACCGCTGTCGCATTGTCCCTCGCGTCGTACCACAGTGTGTGGGCCACACGGCGTGTACCTATCGGACGCGTTTACGGCCGATTGGCACGTGTACCCGTCGCCCGCCCCCCCGTCGCCCGCCCCCACTCGCAACCCGTTACCCCTTCCAATTCGTCGTCGTTTTTCTTGTTCGACCGTGAACACCCTGGTGCTAGCCCCTCAAGTAGTCTGAACGAGTGTATGTTCGTGTGCCTCCTGCAACGCTTGTGATGCCTCAACCACCCTCAGGGACTGGTTCCAGTTGACTCTGAAGGAAGGACTGACCGTGTTCCGAGACCAGCTCTTCTCTGGAGACATGGGATCGCACGCCGCCAAGCGTATCGAGGTGCGCCCCCCCCCCGCCCCCCCAATGTGATTTTGACAACTACATGTATGCGTACACTTGAAAATGGCGCACGGAACTGGAAAGACTCCCACGGTTCAGTTTATATCGAAAGAGGACGGACATGTGTGTACATATTGGAAAAGGTTACGGTTCGTGATAATCAAGCGGTTCACGTCATCATCGTTCTGTCCTGGGCTAACACAGCTCCTATACTCGACCCCACATTCTGCGGGAAGGCACGGAGTTGCACTAGCACGACTTTGGCAGTGAGGGCATCGCCAGGACGAGGGGGCACGCGCGGTGGTGATGCCGCAGATCTCGGAATATGGCCATGAAGCACCGAGGATTCGCCCTTTGAGCGCACATGTAGCAATGGGCGTTAGGACGAACCGGGCGTTCACACGAACCCGCGCTATCCCCAATGCTACCGAAGTCGCCGCTAGTTTTTTTTGGCGAGTAGCCCGCGTTCAACAGACCTCCCACAGCACGTTTACTATATTCCGAAAATAATGGGTGCGACTCCTCCCCCACCCACCCCACCCCTGCCGGCTTGAGGCATCGCGCTTTACATGTTTTTTTTCTGTCACTACCTCTCGAACCACATCACTCGCGTGAATAGTTTGGAATCCGTTGGCTGTGCGTGTGGATAGCTGTGGGAACATGAACCAACTTCTCCCGTCCTCGTTCTCGTCTCTGCCGACGCTAAATGCCAGGTAGGGGCGTGCGAGCGCTCCGGTTGTCCGTTGAAACGAACAAACGTCGGCTCCCCCTTGCGCGTGATTGGTGGCGTGGTTGACATATTTACGTCTTTCCAACACCAATAAATAATCGACAAAGAACACGCCCAGCAGCTATTCAACCTCTCCTTTTTCTTGTTTGATTAAGGAACGAGACATAGTGAATAACTGAACACTCCCTTTTGGTGTTTGTGGTTGTCTTGCCAACGTGTGGCGTGCCCTAGGACGTGCGGACGCTCAGATCTCGGCAGTTCCCCGAGGACGCAGGTCCTCTGTCGCACCCAATCCGGCCGGAGTCGTACATCGCCATGGACAACTTCTACACGGCCACCGTTTACGTCAAGGGCGCCGAGGTAACATGTTAATGTTTTATATCTACATGTCTGCATGAGTGATTCTGCTACATTCGCATCGCAGGAGACACGAGGGCATCGCCTTGGAGTAAAATTGCCGTAGGTGACATGACACAAGATATCACACCCCCTGGACCGATTCTCAGAGCTCGTTTCTTCCACAGCAGAAAGAACGGCGGTACCGAAAATGGCGGCGGCGGTACCGTGTAGCGTGTTGTCGTAGAGAGCTCTCCGAAAACGTACCATCGTTGACCTATGATGTATGTACCCCCTCTTCGAGTAAGGAGCTGTGACAATCGGTCGAGGGGGTGTGATGTCTTACGTCACCTGCGGTGCATACGCGACGCAGACATGAAGGCATCGCCTCGGAGTCAATGAATTGAGTCATGGAGAAGAGATCCAACGACCACGAGGACACCTCGTCTTGGTTGTCTCGGCAGCGTTGAGATGAAGGCGTGTTCATCAAGTACAACGAGCACCCAGTGAAGCGAGCGTTAGGGAGCAAGTCCAGAAGAGATTGTAACGCGGCTGGGCTCCACACCGAGTAGGACTCTCGGATAAAAACAATGCTTTGATATATGCAAGATCGCCAGCTTTTATTGAGAACCCTCCATTCCAGCACACTTACGGGCAAGGGAATTTTCGCATGTATGCATACCGTGCCTTCTCTTGGCCACGGTTTGCCGTGCTTGATGTTTGAAGTTTCAGTCTTTCGTTGCCCTCCGGTGGGTAGACTTTCGCTTGTACCGCACCGTGTCGTTGTCGCTACGGCCTTGCTGTCCAATTGCTCAACACGATACGTTTTCAGTGACTTGCGTTGATGGCCCTCCGGCACGGCGTGTTGGTTTGTTTGTCTCCGCAACAAATGCTGGAAGGTGATCCGCATGTACCGCACCCTCGTGGGCGAGGCCGGCTTCCGCAAGGGCATGGACCTGTACTTCAAGAGGCACGACGGGCAGGCCGTGAGCTGCGACGACTTTCGCGCCGCTATGGCCGACGCTAACGACATCAACCTCGACCAGTTCGAGCGCTGGTACTTGCAGGTGTGCGCGCGTAAGAAAAATGATGGGATGGTTCATCAAGATAGTGGTTTGCATGCCACACGATTTGAGACCCCGAAGTAAAGGCTCATCAGGATCTTGGTATGGTATGCCACACCATTTCAGGTCCGTGAATAATGGTATTAGCTGGCACGATGAGAATGATCAAAATGTTACTGTTTTGCACTTTGAATAGGTGCGGGTTTTAGTGAGGGTAAGTCGCTTGGCGTATGTATGCCCGCGATAGACGGGGACCTACCTCTACACACTGCTGTACTTGTAGGAGACGCTGCACAACGCTTTCCTCCCAGAATCTGGTTTCCTTCACACGTTCATATATCCATTTGCACACAACAAACGAAGGAAGTTTTTTATGTTCATACGTCTATGTGTACATGTACACGACCAATCAAGGAAGAAGAATGAAAAATGCGTCTGACCTTTCCAAATCTGAAAATGTTTATTGCTTTTTTTTTCTGCTTTTTTCCCGTGGTGCTATCTCAGGCCGGTACGCCCGAGGTGTCCGCCGCCGGAGAGTACGACGCGGAGGCGAAGACGTACAAGCTGACCCTCAAGCAATCCAGCAAGAAGGAGGACACGCTGCCTTTCCACATCCCCGTCGTCACCGGCCTCCTTCTCAAGGAAGACGGCTCTGAGGTGAGGAGGAGGAGGAGGAGGTGGAAGAATTGCACCACCGCGGTTTCGGGGTAAAGTTGTAGCTTGTCTTTTTCCCACCCCCCGGCACATCGCTCCGTCCCGGCATTTTAGGGGTGCGAGGCCAATGGTCTCACGAGTACAGCATGGGTTTATATGAGGACACCTGCCCGCACCCCACTGGCCATCGGTGATCGGACCCGTGGGAACAATGCTCCGTCCTTTCGAGGACGTGTGGTCAAATAGCTGAGACATTCCAAACATGAGTACCCCCCCNCCCCCGCTTTTGTTGTTTATTTTTCACGCGTCGTTCAGGCTGTTGCGTCTAGGGTGCTGGAGCTGAAGGAGGAGGAGCAGACCTTCACCTTCGAGGATGTTCCCTCTGAGCCCATACCGTCGCTGCTCAGGTCTGCTGTAACCGCTGTACCGTAGGCACACGGGCGTCGAAGGAGTGATTATTTCCCTCGGAAAAGAGCTTTATATGTGAACGGATGTAACTTCAAGTGCACGGCTACATCTGTGAAAGGCAAGGCAACGACCGGTACCCCCCCCTCCCCCCCCCACCCTCCGGCCTGCGCTTCTACTCTCGCACTACATAGGTTTGCCTGCGTTGTTGCAGTCTTGAGACGAAACTCCACCCAGGCAAGCATTTTCGGCTTGAGTTGGTCCGTCTCCGCGCCTACACTGCTTCCGCCCCTCTCCCTCCCCGATGTCCCTCGGCAAAACCAACGATGGTGACCAGCTTCTGGGTCGTCCTTGTGAAACCTATTAACAGTCGTGGTCCCTGTTGGAGCGGTTCACAGTGTCACAGAAGGTTACCGTATGTGACACAAGATAACAAACCCCCTGGACCGATTTTCAAAGCTCGATTACCCCACGACTAAGAGGATACATAGACCAAAGGATACGTTGTCAGGGAGCTCTCGACCAGACGGCTTCAACGCCGCCGTCTTTGGCCCTGCGAACGCTGTTGCTGCTTTTGAATGATCGAGCTTTGAAAATCGGTCCAGGGGGTGTGTTATCCTGTGTCATATACGGTATATCCGCTATTAACGGCATCCAGCTAAACAGGGATCCACTAAGCCGGGACCACAACAGTAGCGTGGGCCGGCGAAAACCCGGCATTTCGCTCCTCCGTCCCGGCGTTGTATTTATAGGGATGCGAGGCCAATGGTCTAACGGCTACGGCATGCGTTTACATCAGTACACCACCACCCCTATCTTCCCTTTTCAGTCCATTGGATATGCCCTGCCAGAACCAGGATAATGCACAAACCTAGTATATGACCTGCATAAAACAGTTACGCCAACTTGCATGTTTCCGAGGCCACTGTGAGCCAATGAGCGAGCGTCCCCTCCCCCCCGGCTACCATGTAGGCAATCGATATGGGTGGGATAGATAAACTAGGCAAGACGTTTCTGAGCCACCTTTGGCAAAGTAGGAAGGAACGATTGGCCATCGGTGATCGGTCCTGTGGGAACAATGCTCCGTCCTC